TTTGCGCCCAAGAAAACAATAATCGAACAATTCGTAGAGTCAAAAACGCAAACCGAATTGATGCACCCATAGATTTACCAAATAGTTAAGGCCTTTAAAAAATTGAATGTCAAGCCTCATGTAGAAACACGCCAGTGAACGATTTTCAAGCAGCAATATGTGCACAAGAAGCTATGATGCGATTGTGCAAAATTGTAAAACATGGACAATTTTCTAACTTACGCAAAAAAACCCTTCAGTAATACTGGGAATCCAAAACACCCTTAACAAAAACAACGACAACAACAACAACAACAACAACAACAACAACAACAACAACAACAACAACAACAACAACAACAACAACAACAACAACAACAACAACAACAACAACAACAACAACAACAACAACAACAACAACAACAACAACAACAACAACAACAACAACAACAACAACAACAACAACAACAACAACAACAACAACAACAACAACAACAGCAACCACAAAGACACCAAAAAAACAACAATTTTCACGAGGTTTTTTTGCAAGTCCATGTTTTCGCGACCAAAATTTGAAACTTCCAGACTTTCGCAACAAAAAAAATTCGTTGCAACAATGGTGGCTGAGGCATTTCCAGCATTTTGCGATCAAATTTGGCGTTTGCGAACTTTCATGACCAAAAGATCCGTTGGCTGTAACTAAAACAAAGACGAAGCGACCGGTGCAAATCAAGAAAAGCACAACTACAATGGTTCTTTAGGTGGCAGTATGAATCATAAATCAACAAACATAAGACAATCCTTAAACCATAAACCATGAAAATTTTTTGATGAACAGACTGCGTGAGCGAACCAAAACCAGCGTAGCGCTCCTTTTAATTGACCGTGAAAGTTTGTCCGCTTGCGCGAATAGAACTTTTTTCTACCATTTCATCAGAAATTTGTAATTTTCAAAACGTCGAAGATCAAACTCAACCAATTGAATAATCGCACATCAAAAAAAATCGAAGTCAAGATTCGAAATACATGGACAACTCTTCTGCAAAATTTCAAACATCTCGATAAAAATTGCACATTTTTTGCAAAGTTGGCATAAAGAAATCGGAAAGTAAATCGGAAAACTGAAGGCAACTTTTTAGTGTCGATACAAACTACAAAGTTTACCTCAAAAAAGGCGGATCTAGGTTTTTTCTAGAGGGAGCGGGGGGGGGGGGGGGATTTCAAAATATTTTCCAAAATTTGGTCGACCTTTTTTTAGGTTGACCTAGTTCATTTCAGTAGCACTCCCAGAACGCTATAAAGACCTTAGTTTTACCAAACTTTTTGCATAAATGTTCGGTAAAACTTTTTTGGAAAATTTTTGACCAATAAAATGGTCATAAAATATACCAAAGGGGACCCTTTATTTGGCGAGGAGGTCTAACCCCTGAGACGATCACATCCCCCCTTAATTCGCCACTGATTGATGTAGTTCGAGAAAAATTAGAAAAGTGGAAGGGTTTATTTGAAACGCAGTATGAAGCAGGCTGAGTAGACAAAAGTAAGAAACTCAGGAACACCCTGACAAGAAAAAAAGAGCATCCATTAAGAATCTAGTCGAGGAAGAGGCGCGATTGACGAGATCAGACCTTTTGGTAAGTTTGAAAATTTATCACAATCGCATAAATCTGCTTGAATTTGCTGAGAAAGCCATAGCTCGATGATCCAAAGCGTGGACTAAAAACTGCAAAAAGGCAGAAGATGTCATCTGATTTTTTGAGACCGCGCTCATCCATTGACGATTTCGGCAGATCATCACAAAAGTCGGGAAAATTGAAAACCGAGAAAATGATTTTCAGAACACCTAGTGGTTCAACCAGAAAATCTTGAATAAAGGCAGGCGATTGCAGTTCAATAAGAAGCAAAAGCGTCGCAAGATGGAGAATCCACACAATCATCCATCAACAAACATAGTAGGTTGAAATTGGTTGATCCCACCCAAGCCAGAAGATGCGCTGATTAAACCAAAAGATACCTCGAAAATTGTTGCGGTTTGCTGTCGATGTAATGAAAAGGGGGAATGAGCAATAGATACCTTAGAAAAGCTGAAATTTAAAGTGAAGCGAGTTCAATTTTAGCGAAAAAATCCAAGCTCAATCATTTCTTTTAATGGGTTGAAAAAATTGACATCAGCCATGGACACTCTAGTAGAAAAGCGTCTACAACAAGCCCCATCAAAAAAAATCGGTACGAAGAGCAGGGGAAATAAATATTCCACTCAAAAGAGACAAAGATAGAGATTTTGATCACAAAATAATTTTTGAACCTGCAAAAGGCAAACTCAAACAAAATGAACGACTGAGTTTTCAATTCAAACTTCAGTTTTCAGCCCAATAAAACTTTATTGTATGCCTGATTCAAGATGAGAACAACATAAAGCCGCCCTCCCAGAAGCTGCTGACTTTTTTTGGGACCAAGCTGGAATGATCCGAATGGTCAAGTTTCTTCCTAGCAAAGGCTAACAGGACCTTAAGGAACGACAGCATTAAAATGTCTCATTTTGGTAAGGGAGACACTGAAAAAACTAAAATAGCCATATGCGGATTATCGTAATTAGTTCATGCACAACGAGAAAAATCTAACGTTCTATGGATTTACTGAAAGAGTTGAAGTGCTTCTCAAGGTGGAATACAACACTTGATGGTGGTGCGACAAGGTGCTTTTCATGGATTTAATGTAAGGCATAATCGGCTGCTGTTCCAAAATTGTCCTCAATAAGAGCAGGCGAATGTAACAGCTCATGAAAATGCCACTCCATAGATGAACGATACACAGAGGAATTGGTTATTCTTTGCAGAATAGATACACTGAGCCTCGCAGCTACCGCAAAAAACTCAAAGAACAAAAAATGAGGAATTGGACAAGCATAGTCAAATAGGTCAATTGGAAAAACTTTTGAGGAAAAATGGCTGGAACGGCGAAAAAATTGCAAAACATTTTTTCATTATTTTTGCAGAAATTTGTTGAGTTTTTGAAGTATTTTAAGCTCAAAACGACGCTAAAAAACTAAGTTTTGACGGCCTAATTAAAAATTAAACGAACTATAGTAGGCTTTCACGCCTTTTCTACACCGAGAATATTTTTCAAATGTTTTTATATATCGTTCGAATCACGATTGAAAGTTTAATATTATATAAAACAAATTGTATTGCCGTACTTTTGCAGTTCAGCAAGATCCTGAGGGCGATAACTTTCTCCTTTTTGATTCGGGGTCGGAGGCAAAAAACCGAATGTTAATATGTCTTACCGTTGACAACTTAGAAGCTTTGGAGAACAACACAGTCTGGCACGCAGATGGAAAATTTAAAACATATCCCGCTTTATTTTTTCAAAATTGTACAAATCATGCAGTAGTTGAAAATCAAACTGTTTCATTAGACATCTTTCTTCTTTGGAATAAAAAACACGAGTTCCCTATTTTACTCTGAAATTAGTTTGAAAACACCAAAAATGAAAGACAGAAAACCAAGAACTCAGCAGGGATGGCAGATGGCCTTTCAGATGAGGATGAGGTGTGCTCACCATACCATTCAGGAACCCGATTCCTGAGAAAAGACCAAAATCGATCGGAGAACAAATTGGTGAGAAATACTGCCGGAGAAAGTGCCATCAAGATGGCAAAAACGAAAGAAAAAACAAGACGGATTAGTTAAACTCCTTAAACATTGTAGCAAAAAAATTATTCTCAAGCTGTTTGAGGGCCTCTCGTTCAATTTTATTTTTAAAGGTTTGTTCTTTAATTTAACAATTTCATTGAAGTTTTTTCATGTGATCAAAGCTTTTTCCGCTACTCATTGTCGCTTGCCACTAGTTGTCGCGTGATGTGATGAGTCGATTCTTACCATTGCTACGATATGCCGCCATGCCTAAAAAGCGTTGAAATATTGCTTCGATAGTTTTGTTTTCTTGTTGCAGAATTTTTCCATTCAACATAAGTTTATCTTATTTTTCGAACACGTGACTTATTACCCACAGAACACGTCAAACAGGTGAGTCATAGTGGCAAATGTTTCTGGGGCAGAAAAATTTCTGGAAACTTGATATAACTTTTTCTGAGAAGTCTACAACTGCGCGCAAAAAAAACAACCACTCGAAAAAACAACACCCATTTCCATCTTACTTTAGCCTAGAAACCGAAATTTCTAATAGTTATTTCAACTAATCCATGGACAATAATTCGCTGAGGAAACATATTTTTGTATGCTCTTAAGATTATGTAGTTTTCCGTTAGGGTTTTTTTATGACATTTTGGTAAAATTTAGATTCTTGTTGTTTTAAAAAAATTTATTAAGAAGAAGCTTTTTTAGAGATATACAAGGGGTTTCATGAGGTATCTCCACTATTCGCTAAGGTATACTTTACGAGGTATATCACTAAGGTTAAGTATGCAGACTAAAAATGAATATGTTTGCCATGGGGTAATTAGTCCGCCTGCCAATTTTCAATCGGATCATCTGAGCAACTTTTTTTACAAAAGTTTCAAATAGAGGCATAAAGGTAAAAAGAGCTTCCGTCGAAGTTTTGGGAAAACTTGATTCTAGATTGAAAACAAAACACAACTTCGAAGTTCGCTCCCACCTCATTTAGAAGGAATACAATGAAATAAACTAGGTTTTCACCTTTATTTTGACTGGTTCTTGCATTGATAGAAATTATAACGAAACCATGCTTGTGCATTATGCATGACCAAAACAGCAAGAATGGTATCTATGGGTTATTGTGTTTTCGAAAAAATCATTGGGTTGCCATTGTACAATTGTACAGTGAACAGGCTCTGAAAATTGAAAAATGTAGATGAGAACCATGGAATACGTTTTCTAAGACATAGACTAGGGTGCTAATGAAAAGTCTTGCAAGCCGATTGATTGTTGACGTGTGTTGGTAATTATGCGAATACGAGGTTTTTGAATCTTTGAGATTTTTGGGTTTTTCATTAATTCAGGACTACTCAGTTATTTGTTAAATTAAATCACGCTTTCTACAATAGGTGCTTGAATGGCAGTCCAAAGACTGTGTGTGATTGAATTGAATGACTCACTTGTGGCGCAGATAACTCGGAGTGGTTCTGCAATTCAGATAATAAATAACAAACATGTTATTGACTGTAAAAATTAAGATAGTTTTTTGCCACTGACAATTTTGAAGGTTCTTGCTGACACTGTAATTAAGTAGAAAGATGTCGCGTACGCATTCGATGATTGGTTTTTGTATTCAATTCTTTGTACCATGATTGGTAAAAATCAGAATGGCTTAAGAGAAAAAATGGACCAGCCGGGTCGACTTTTTACGCCCATTTTCAAGCAAAACTTGAGTGGTCTGAGCAGCGTTTCAGGCAGATTACCTTCAAATTCAAAATCTTGAACCATAAAAAGTTGTTTGAATGGGATTATAGCAGTTTTTATAATGAATGGACCACGGTTTTTGTGCATGATTTTTTGAGCGTTAGTTGCATTTGTCGTGTTATCTCGACCCAGAAGTATTGCATGGGTTTGTACTTTTCTTACTGTAGTGTAGTAGCCCTTGTAGTTGGTGGGGGAGAAGTCGACGATGGGGATTCCAAAGTGGTAGGCGACACTTGCGAGACTGAGATGCACGTACTGGTTGGGGGAGGAGATGACCACGCCCACCAGCGCCTTCATTTTGATCTGGTTGCAGATGGTCAGTATAGTCTCCGTCACACTCTGGCCTGGCTCTATCATGATGGGGTTGAACTTCATCTGGGGATAGAGGGTGTGGGGTGAGAGGGCTTCCTCCCGAGTAGGACAAGGGTGCTCCTTGCTCCTACAGTAGGATATGTCTTCCACATACCTGTAGAATAAACAAGCATCATAGAGACAGAGACAGATCTTGTCTACTCTGCGCTCAACTTCTACGTTACGCTAATATGATAATTAAATCATTCGCTACGACAAATATGAGCTTGCTTGAGCTCCAACTAAATTCGGAATTGTTTTTATTAGGGCTGTGTCAACCCAAAAATTGCTACTTTATGATTTTGAGCTGCCATAAATCAAGTTCGGTTCATTGGCTAAAATATTCAGATGCTTAGAAAAAGGAAGCCAAAAAAGACATTTTCCGATTAAAACATTTAGTTTTGACTTGAGAAAAAAATGACAGAATGAGTATACTTGGGTTGGTTTTTTGTTTAGATAGTTTCAATCCGCAAAATATTTTCACTAAAAAGTTTCAATACGCCGCACTATCCTAATCGATTCAAATTAAATAGGGTTTTTTAATTTGAATCAAAATTGAGCAACAATAATTTTAAAAAAAGTCAATATTATTAAAAATAACATTTACAAAACTCACAAATCAAAATCAATAATTTTAAGGGTTCCGTCAGTTTCTGATTAGTTCTAGCTTTGTCGAAACAAAAACTACAAATTAGGGGTCAACTTCCTGCTCCTAATTTCCTGACGCGTGCTTTTTTTGAGCCGTTCCGCTCTTAAATGCAATGCTTGTAGCATGATTAATTAATTAATGTTGCCAGTTTGACCAATTGTTTTTGACTGTAACTCAGGCCTATTACCATCTCTGCCCCATTTGATAAATTATATTTGTTAATTGTAGTTCGAAACATATTTATTTTTATCATAATTCAAACTAGCAAAAAATGAGACCAGTTAGGGGTATCGGAACAATTAGCACTGTGTTTTTTATTTCGTCAAGCATTCGTTTTGAATTAAATGTGATTGACAAATTTATTCTGTATCACCTGAAAAACTCTGTTGCCATGAGCTCAAATTTAACAAAAATTTTATATTGTGATTATTTTTGTAAAATTAAAGGGGGTTTGAAAATTGCCAATATGACCAGTTTGGAACAATTAGTTAAGAGTATGTTAAGCTGCAATTTAAATTATTGCAGATTAAATTGAAGCAAGCCAATTGGTTTTATTAGAACGATACAAGATGAAAAATGCGCCCTTTTCTGGTTATGCATGTGCGGGATAAAAGAACGGCAAAAATGAAAGCTGAACCATTTACTTCATCATTTTTGTTATTGTTCCGACTTTCGATACGAAAGTAACGGAATATTTGTGCTCGGGGTGGATTTTTTTTTTCTTCAGACAAATTTCGACTTTTTAACTAGCCATTTTTGGTGGAATTTTTTTATATCATTCGAAAGCTATTGTTGTCCTGAGCTTAAATTTGAAAAGATATTTGATCATTTTTCGTAAAGTTATGAGGGTTTAAAGATTGCCATTTTGGCCATTTTGACCAATTTGGGACAATTAACGCGCGATATAATTCGCGCCATTAACGCGTAAGCGGAGATTTAATCCGTCGTAGAAATCGTTCCAAATTGGTTGAAAGAAGCCTATTTGCCATAATTTATTTGTTACAAGGAGCGAAATCTATCGTTTTGTACTTTATATGGCGTGTGGGGGGATAATTTTCATCGAAACATTTTCAAATTTTAGAAAAAAAAACTTTTTCATTTATTTCATTTCATTAACTTTTTTATGTTGTTTATGTTATTACTGCTCCATAAACGGTAAAAGGCAGTCGGAACTTTCAGGGCTTCACCCTGATACGAGCAGTCTTGTTATTAACTTTATTAACTTTTTATTCAGCTTCAAGGAGCAGTCAGAACATTCAGAGCTTTGCCCTGACATTTGATTGTTTTTTTGAATTGCAAAAACCCTAGTTAAAGGGGCTAGTAAAACATCTTTACTGAGTTTTTTCTTCGAAATATCGCCTGAACAAGCATTGTTATTCCTACTTTCGATACGAAAGTAACGGAATATTTGTGCTCGGGGTGGGTTTTTTTTTTCTTCAGACAAATTTCGACTTTTTAACTAGCCATTTTTGACGTAATTTTTTTACATCTTTCGAAAGGTATTGTTGTCCTGAGCTCAAATTTGAAAAGTTATTTCACCTGTGATCATTTTTTGTAAAGTTAGGGGGGTTAAAAGATTGCCATTTTGGCCAATTTGGGACAATCAACGCGCGATATATTTCGCGCTATTAACGCGTAAGCGGGGACTTAATCCGTCTTAGAAATCGTTCCAAATTGGTTAAAAGGAGCTTATTTGCCATAATTGGTTTGTTACAAGGAGCGAAATCTATCCTTTGTACTTTATATGGCGTGTGGGGGGATAATTTTTATAAAAAATTTCAAATTTTAGAATTATTTTTTTTGATTTTGTTTTTTTTGCATTGAATTTCTTAATGTTATTACTGCTCCATAAACCTTAAAAAGCAGTCGGAACATTCAGGGCTTCGCCCTGATACGAGCAGTCTTGTTATGATTTGCGACCTAATCTGATCTCACGTTGTTTGTGCCGAGTGAAACAACAAAAATTTTTCCTCGCCTTTAATGATTGGTACAGCAGGATACTGCAAAAGATGCACATGTTTTTCATGAAAATTAAACTATAACCACGTCGATGTGTTCAATTTTTGATATGAACTTTTACTCTAACTTTTCTTTGCAGTCTTTTAAAAGCAACTTAGCAAGGGATTCTGTTTGATTTTTGATGAGATGAGGGAGCGTCGTTTCCATCCAAAACTATTGCTGAATCAGCCTAACTATACTCGGAAAGTTATGACTTAAAGTTTTTAATCCCCAATAACTTGAAATCCTTAACAAATTTTTACCTGAAAACCCTATCTAGAAAACTTTGCATAAACATACTGCAGCAATCAAGCATTAAAGAAATAGTCTCCACAATATTTTTCTCAAACTGCTTCAATTGGCTCTTTTCAAACTCCATAACTCGTCTACAAATAGTCATAGATCAAATGGGTTTTTGTTCCGACTTTCGATACGAAAGTAACGGAATATTTGTGCTCGGGGTGGGTTTTTTTTTCTTCAGACAAATTTCGACTTTTTAACTAGCTATTTTTGACGGAATTTTTTTTTGTCATTCAAAAGGTATTGTTGTCCTGAGCTTAAATTTGAAAAGATATTTCACCTGTGATCATTTTTTGTTAAGTTATGAGGGTTTAAAGATTGCCATTTTGGCCATTTTGACCAATTTGGCACAATTAACGCGCGATATAATTCGCGCTATTAACGCGTAAGCGGAGAATTAATCCGTCTTATAAATCGTTCCAAATTGGTTGAACGAAGCTTATTTGCCATAATTGATTTGTTACAAGGACCGAAATCTCTCTTTTTATACTTTATATGAGGTGTGGGGGGAAGATTTTCATAAAAAAATTTCAAATTTTAGAGAAAAAAAATTTTCGTTTTATTTTATTTCATTTAACTTTTTTATGTTATTACTGCTGCTCCATAAACCTTATAGGCAGTCGGAACATTCAGGGCTTCGCCCTGATACGAGCAGTCTTGTCTAATTTTGAGTTCAAGCTTCCATAGATTTGAGATGATTTTCAAAAGTTTCGTAAAACACTGCAAAAAGAACAAAAAATGTTGCTTGAACAAAAAGAAAACAACTCAGGAGCTCAAACTTTCCGTCCATTTTTCTCAAAAGATGTGACAATAAAGTTTGTTTGGGTCTTTTCGGTTATACCCTTCCTAAACTGTAAAAAGATGAAAAGAAAAATTGGAACACTGTTACTAGAACATGCACTATAATATTATGTGAAGTATAAGTCAACGAGAAAGTTATTTTTCACACTTTTAAGCTTTTTACAATGAAATGTATTCGATACATTTTGAGTTTACTGGGGATTTCTACAAAGAAGAGGCGCGGTCACAAAAAAATGAAAACTGTTGACTTCACAGAAGCTTGTAATTGAAAAATATCGCGACCACGGAGTGAAAGTGTTTTTCGAAAACGTGTGTGCTTTCACGAAAATTTGTGTTTCACAAAGAGGCGACCTACAACGCCGGTTGTATAAATACAATGAGGATCTTCTTTTCATAATTCGGACTGCATACTAAATTTGGGAAAGTTTTTTCGGGGTTTAAGACAATGATTTTGTTTTTTAAGTTATATCTGACATTAAAGAGATATTTCAATGTCAGGTTTGTCGAGAAGCTGTTTATTTTATGTTTATTTTGAAAAATTGGTTATCAGATGTTGGAGAGTGGTTTCCTCTTCCACAACCTTTCATTTTATTAAAGTGTTAGCAGCTTCTTCAACAAATGCAATTACCGTCGGAAAACATTTTCTCCTACTTACACAATACCGCTAATTTTTGGCTCTTCTTTAAAATTGTTTTGTGTCAAACTGGAAATTAGCTTTTGATATAACTTAAAACAACTAGCGCCAGGAAATATTTCAACCAGCGCTGATGTGTCGCTTTATGACACCATGTTGGCATGTCTTGATTGGATGATTGCTCTCTGGGGGGCTAAGCGATCAGTGCCTAAGATTTAGGGATGGCGTTAAAGTGACAAAACTGCTACATTGAGGACATATAAATGTTATTACTAAAATCTGGATAAAAAAGCTTTCACTAATAAAAATACAATGACGACTCGGCAAAAAAATGCAGAAAAAAAAACGTTTAAAAAAGATCACGGTGAAAAATGGTCACTAGAATTTAGCCGTATGTTTCAATTAATTTAATCACATAAAAAGTTGAAGTAAGCGGTCGGTTTCAATCTATGAAGTGTGAGTATGACTTACTGCAGTGCTTTTCTCTTCATTTCGTTGCTGTCTGGACCGTCTATGATGAATGCGATGTCGAACTTCATGCCTTTCGGGTCCAGTCTTCGTCTGACGCGACTCAGCCGCTCGCCTGTCACCTCCTCATGACCTGCCTCGTGGTACCCCTCGTGACCACTTATTGCTGATCTTTCAGGACTGTCTGAGATAAAAGTGGCATCGCCTACGCAGTGAGTTAGCAATAGTAATAAAAGCAAGGTGATGGCAATAGATATAACAGTCATTTGACGCGATGGCATAACTTATCGAATGCCAAAAAGTTAGTTTTTTTTTCACAACTTTTGACTGCGTATATCATTCACATCTTCGGCATTTATCAACGTCAACTGAATAATGTGTGTTCAAAACACAGACAGTGTCCTCGTGTACAGCATGATATTATTGTAAGAACGGATTTTGTTTTGCTTGGTTAGATTCCAAACTAAAAGAACGAAATTAATAAAAAATTTAAACTGTTTCTGATTAATTTTACAGATCAAATATAATGATTCACTTTAGTTCAGAACAATGAAACTATTAAAGTATATTAATTAATTGGGACGCAATGGCTGATAGAAGAAACAGAACGTATTTTTTTCGTCCTCAATTGACTTGGTGTGGTAAAACTTCGTTGGTACAATGGGAAAGGTAAGACGAGATTCGAATTGGTAGTGTGCGAAAATATCTGACGATGATGTTCGAATATGAAGAGCATAGCCACAGCCTTCCTATTATTGATATCTGAAAGTGATTGTTAAGGAATTTGTGGGTTAGGTGAAGTGTGATGTTTTTATTGTCACTCTGCACTGAGGAGGCTTCTTCTGATTGAGTGATTCTGATGGACGAGAAGAGGGCAGCGAGAGAGAGAGAGAGAGAAAGAAGCGATATGACATTTTAGTACCATTTCCAGTGCCCCACAATTTACAACCAGCAAGTCCTGCTGTCTGATTGGATGTTTATTTAAACCCAACATTACAACCCAGGCTCCGCTCTTGCTGATTTGGAAACTATCGAGCGCTGCCAGCTCTAGAAAAAATATTCTACTGCACTCAGCGGTGACAAATATATTTCTTTCATCCACCAGTAAAATTGGATTTAAAACTCATATTTGTCGCAATTTTTAGTTCTAATCAATTACGGATTTCGTTGATTTTCAACTACACAAAAGATTAATGACTCAACTTCTAAAATCTGGCTCAAAGCTTAGAAAAGCTTTCATTTTCAGCAAAAGAGTGTTTTTGGTTATGAAACCTATATGAAGTTTTTGCAGCTGAAATTTTCCAAGTGTGAGATTGAAGCAAGCGCAGTTTTGTTGACCTTAAAGCGAAGCGAGAGAAGTGTGTGGGGTTGAGATTTCACCTAGAAAATTGAAACAACTTTGATATTTGCAACATTGCGAAAAAAACGACAGTGAAAATTGCATTTGGCTCTTTAAGTTTTGATCAAAACGACATCAACCTGTTTGATGATATTTTGGATATCAATACCTAATTTTGGCACGCGTCAAATCAATTTTGCTATGAAAATTTTCCGCTCTTATTTTCATCATTTAGGGAGTATAACCAAAAAGACCTGAGCAAAGATCGGTGCGTTCATTCGTTCCATTTTTATGGATCCATTAGATAATAGGTAATAGGTTGTAGAAAGCTAGATAAATCTAGACTTTGTCTATCAAACCTTCAATGGTAATTTTATGGACCACAGATATTAATCAAATCTTTCAAAAAGTAAATCAAACCAACTCGAACTCTGATCGCAGAAACACCCAATTAGTTCTAAAATGCATTCCACGTGCAACTAAGGAGCTCCACGGAGTTTTGGTTTGTGGCAATGACGTTGTTCTAATATTCTACAGAATATCTGTCCAATAAAACGAATGGTATGATCTAAGGACGGCATTCTCAAGTGGAAAACGGCGATGTAAAATGAGCAATTGAGCCACGCGGGGCTTTGTTTCCAGTTAACTCAAACGAGTACCATATGAAATAACTGTTCTTAGCTAAAACCACCAACACTTCCATAGCGATTTGTGCTACACGATTTGAATGTAGGCTAGAAATTCAAAAAAGAGTGTAAATCTGGTACAAGTGTACTTCAATAGGTGTTGGCTTCAATAAACTTTTTAGGATTAGCCAAGTCCCTAAACGTGAAATATGGGCCAAATTAAAATTAATGGAGCAGACAGTTTAATGCAAAGAATATTTTCCTTTTGAAAAGCAAGTAAGAAAAGTTGTAAAGTACCCAAGATTAGACATTTAACAGGTAGGAACGGAAAGTTTCTAGATTGATTATATAGGGGCTAAAACGAAAGGAGGTAACAGCAGAGTGGTAGTAAGTGAGAAAATCTGTTAAGACTCATATTTCACACTGTGAGCTTAAATGAAAGAAATCAAACCGAGCGTAGATCTTGACTGGAATCAGCAGTTGTTCTCCATTTCAAACAACTGTTCACAGATTGCATTAGAGACCAGCGGAAATCATAGCTTCTAAATGAGAAAGGTACGATCCAAACTTATGGATGGTCTAAACTTCAAACTAATGATGCCCGGGTCGAGGTCCGCAGCTAACTTTTCGACTTAGATGGTCGGCCGGTGTTATTTGTCTGGACATGGTTTTTTAGTCGCAGGCCATCGAGCAGATTCTTTTGCGCAATAACAGCCGAAGTTCATTTGTCGGTCACGCCGGTCGCTGTTAAATTTTATTCGGGGGTACCAGTCGAGCGATGAAGAAAAATTTTCTTTTTCTTACTAAAACCGTATTTGAACAGTTGGATACAAACTTTAATTGGAATGAGTGCATTATATTTTAGACGCATGCTTTGTGCTTTGAAAAAAAATTCGTGGAAAATTTTTTTTCCTGCTGATTTTTTTTCGGGCTCAGAGTATTGATATCTTCCAAGTGGTATTTAAACTTCAAAGGGTCAAAACCTTTGAAGTTTAAATACCACTTGGAAGATATCAACGCTCTGAGCCCGAAAAAAAAATCAACTCCTGTTCTCTTTCAACGTGAGCGTCAAATTAAATCATTCACCTATCATTTTGTGCAGATAGTTCTAATTTTGGAAAAAACTGCCGGAATAATTGTGCTCGGTGTGTTTTAGTTCTTCGGACAAGTTATGACCATTAAACTAAAAAGTTTTGAAATCAACTGAAAGCTAATGATGCCCTGGGGTCAAAGCTTGGCCTTATGCTTTTTTGTTTTTGATTTGATCTTTTTGCCAATTTTTTTGCCAGAGTTTACTTGATTAGCTAAAATTCATTCTTATGAAACGTGACATTGGTCGGATATTAAATCTTTTGTGTCAAATTGTACGCTCTCTCGAAATTAGAATATATCGGCAATCATGAAAGTGGAAGGTATGATAAGAAATAGTAAACTACTGAATGCCTCTCGATGTTACTAAGCGTTTGAAAGATTCACTTGTTTATCGAGGAAAACAAACTGAAAAGTACGAACTCGTAGTCAATATATGACGCCCAACATAAAATGGTAAATATCAAAGCAAAAAAATGGTAAATTTCATTCAGTTTGCTCTTTGATTTTTTGAAGAATTATATAAAGATACAAGATTGCTCGTATCAGGGTGAAAACTTGAATAAAAAGACTGCCTTTTAGGGTCTATGAAGCAGTGTATGCTTTTTAATCAGAATTGAAAAAAAAAAATTTTCAATATATTTAAAAATCATTTCCCCTCACGCCATTTTGAGTTCAAAATGGTAGATTCCAATCCTGGTAACATAACAGTTATGACAAATTGCCTGCTTCAACGAGTTTGGATATATTTCTAAGAGCGATGCAATCTCCGCTTACGCAGCGCGATTGGCCATATTGACAATCTCTAAACGCTCATAACTTAACGAAAAAAGATCATAGGTTAAATATCTTTGTAATTTTGAGCTTTTTGCAACAATACTTTTTGGCTGATACATAAAAAATTCTGTCAAAAAATTTCAGTTAAAAGTTCGAAATTTTTCCGGAGTATAAAAAACCAACCCGAGAGAAACTGTTCCTTCACTTTTTTCGAAAGTAGGAACAATAAACTTGACACCAACGCGAAACATGAAATAGCAAACACAGAAAGATAGTATTTGTTAATCATAGCTTGATTCAATATACATCCACGACATACTCAGTAACAAGCTAGTGGGGGGCATCTAAATTCCGATCGCCAGTTTGCTCAACTCTTGTCTACAGTTTTGTTGCACAAGCTTACGACATCCCTTTCTAGCTGACCAATGATACAATTTTTCTATAGTCGACTTTTGAGCAAATATATACTAACTTTGGAAAGAAACATGCTACAAAAACGCAGGCTTTTGGTAAAAAGATTCCAGAAAATCCCCAAAAAGGCATTCTATCAAAGTTACAAGAATTTCAATAGATTTTTAAAGTGTTTTAAAAATGGTTCTCAAGTAAACTGGTTTCAAACCGGTTTTTTGGCAAAAGTGGGACAGTTTCTTTTTGGAATTTTCGAATTTCGACTGTGAGGACTTTAATAAGAAATATCACTCAGCTCTCTCCGATGATTTAATTGTGGTAGCTGAAATGGTGAGGAAGAAAATCAAAACACCCAAATATAAAGTTCCGACCCATTTGAATAAATGTAATTAAACTTTGGTTCATCGAAATTTCATAATCTCTAAACTTCAAAAACTGTCGAGTATTGTTTATTCATAGAAGTTTTACGCCTCGATTTAGCGCTTGTGATTTCGAAAGAATCTTTAGTTGCATCTGAGTAGCAAAACTCGGGTCAAGGTGATGGAATACGTTTCAACCGAGTTGATCCAACACTCGACAGTGTTCAATCAGAGTTGAAGTCAAAACCAGCCATTGAAACGAACACAAATTGCTCAAAACTTAAGGCGCCGACACAAGGTCACGACGAAATTGAACTATATCTAAGGAACTACGGGCTCAAAAACTAATTTTGTCCGAAAAATTAAAAAACAATAGGACAATTTCGAAACAAAATGGAAATCACTGGGCTAAGTATGATCAATCGAATGTTGGATACAAATTCGATAAATTAGTGGAAACACAGTTGAACTCAAAAAAATGCTGCACATGAGGTGGAACAGAACAATTCGCAAGCTTTGTCATGAGGAATAACTCTGCAAAAACACAACAAAACACGTGAACCCGCTTACAACAAAACACGTGAATCAATTGATGTTGAGATATAAAAACTGATAGTTCTAATGGCTATTTAATTTTTTTCACAAACATTTTTTTTCTAAGGGCGATCATCGCAAAAACGAAATTTTACGAAAAAATGATGCTAATATTGATAATAATTGAAGACCAAAAACAGTGAAGGAAGAAAAAGCACGAAATTTTGACAGAAGAATTGGAGAGAAGCATGACATTGTGCCTTCACAATAGCTTCCGCAGAAAATGATTATCTACAGAGAACCCTGTGCCCTGTTGTAAACTCGCAAAGAGTTAGAGAACTGCTTCCAACAGCGTTTTAACTGACAAGACACAAGGCGCCAAAACCGAGAGCGCTGATTCGACGTCGCAGGTAGACGACATGGAGTATTAAAACAGCCGATTACGAAAAATTGAAAAAAGACAAGAAGAACTTGGAAGTGTCAGAATTTTTGAACGACAAAGAAAAAAATAAAGGAGCAAAACAATTGCAAAAAAAAGCTCAAAAAAGTGTTTTATTCATGGCATACAACACAACTTTGAGTTTTTTTTGCAATGGTTTTGCTGCTTTAGTTTTTTCTTTTTCGTTCAACAAAAGCACTGAGAATTCCAAAATCTTCTTAACTTTTTCTACATCTTCGTCAATAGAGAAACTAGGCTGCTGACAAAGACAAACTAAACTTGAAGCAAAGCTTTAGATATTTATAGTTTGAGTTTATAATGTGCAATGCGATTTTGTTTGTGTTTTTGGCTAAAATTACTACCTAATAAAAAAAGTTGAGTGGAAGAACTTATAAAAAATATTCCAGCCTGCTCGATGATTTTTGATCGACAAAAAAAGTTCTCCGCTTTCTAGTTCTTGAAGAGACTTCATCAGTATCTCGAGAAGGATGACAAACTCATCTTTACTTCTAACTACAGAGTTTGATAGTTTCAAAATTCAGAAGAAAAAAACACTAACAGTGCTCGGGAAAGCATAAAAGAAAATTTAATCTGATTAGTTGGCTGAATCGTCCTGCGTCCTAAATTTTTTTTTTAAAAGTAATTTCAAAATGTCGAACTGGCACCAGAAGTCACAAA